CAAAGGCGTTGTTCCCAAGACTACCATCGATCGATTGACATGTCTAAGGAATCAGATTCAGTTAGTAGCTGAAGATACAGGTATATATACAGAAGAAATGAGACCATCTTCTTCCTCTTTCCTTGCGTCCTAAGAAACATTATTCAAAACTTCTATTAATTTTTTTGCAGGAGGTTCTGCTATCTCTGAGCTTCGTACAGCTTTGGAAGAGTACTTGTCTCTTCTTACTAGTCTTATCAAGAAAACTCCAGGTTTAGCAAAATTTGAGCACTTTTAAAAACAATTTTAGTGTGTTACGTTGTAAATCAAATGGTAATCATATTATAATTTTTTTAACTTTTTAGAGAATGATAAAATGGAGGGATGTGTGGAGTTCAAATGGAAAACCCTTGGAGATGGTCGACGAGTAAGCCAATCATGAGGATTTGGATATGTTTCTTTTGTTGTTAATTACTCTTTTAAGTCTTAACAATGTGAAGATGTATTTATACAGGCAGAGATATGTTTCACAAACTTTCGTATGGAGATGTTAGCAGTGATTCACATGATGGCTGCTTTGGCATTGACTGAAGCTAACTCTCTCATGATTCCAAAGGATTCCTCTGTTTCTGGAAATGGCGTTCGTGTGGTCTCCACTGGTTTGGCCTCTTCTTCAAACTTGTGTTTTAATGTGTGTTACAAAACCTTATAACTCTTTGTCACATTCAAACAGATCGAAGGAGAGAAGCGGTTGATTTGTTGCTCAAGGCGTCTGGATACCTAGAGTTCTGCATCAAAGAGATTCTGGCTCACTTCCCTTATGATATAAAGTATGAAACAATAAACAGAAAAAATCTTGAATTAGACCTGAGATAAATGTATACTTACATGAAAAGCTGTAAAATTTGCAGGAGTAAGTTACCAGATGATATGCAGGAGAGTGTAATACAAGCTCTCTCTATCCAAGCACTTGGCCAGGTTTACCCACTTTTGAAACCTGTGTTATCTTGAATCTGATTCTTGTATTGATTTATAACTTGTGATTGTGTGGTTGAATCTCACTGTAGGGAACTGAGATCCAACTTGGTTTGGCAATTGATAGCCAAAAAGCTACACTTTCTGTGAAGAGGAGAATTGCTTGTGAGCAAGTCATCTATTTCTCTCAGGTTTAAGACAATCTTTCATCTTCTTACTTGGGACATGCTTTTTGGACAATCGTATGTTTTTTCAGCTCTAATCTCTCTATTATCATTTCAGGCATATCATTGCTTGGCTGGTTGTGAAGTAGTCCACCATGAATGCGGCAAGAAGCTTCTCCGGTTTATCTACTGGAAGTTTCTGGAAGCAAAGGTATTGAAGCTACCGATCAAACAGCTCATCTGTTTTCGTCTCTATTGTCCTCACAGAAACCAATCTCTCTGTGTTTTTTCTTAACAGGCTGCTGCTTACTACTACCATGGATTGGTAACAGACAAGGGGAATGAGCCGGCTTGCCACGTGACCGCGGTGTGTTGTTTCCTTGCAGCTGCAGAGATCTTAGGAGAAAGCAAGAAGGCTTGTCTTAGCTTCTGCTTGGCTCCTCCTGTCACAAGGTTTGTGTTGTGGATATATGCAACAATCATTGAACATGTGGATTATTGTGATTTGACTCAGTATATATGTTTTATCAGGGCTCCTCCTATGTGGGGAGTAATGAAGCATTTGAACCAGAAGATTCCAGAAGTTGCTTATAGGAAGTCTCAAACGTATGGATACTTGCTTGAAGAAGAAGAGAAGTAAGCTTTTAAGAGTATTGTATTGTAACATTTTGAAACTAAAGTTAGAATCAAATTACAAAGATAGCTGATGATATGATAAAAAACACAGGGCAATGCAGTGTTTGCCAGAGCTCCCAGACTTTCAGTTGTCACTGAGACCAGACGAGTTTGAGCTGCCTGAAATGGAGGCTGACTCTTCTTCCAAAGGAAACCAGACCCATTTGCTTAAAGAACATCTTGATGATGATGACATTTAGCATTGAGCACCACTCTCTACACAGATTCTTTTGGAGATTTTACCACTCGTAATTGTAATGTAACAGTTATCATATTGTAATGTTAAATTGTTATCTAAAGTTACATCTTGTCAGACAAAAATCTGATACTTGTTTTACTTTTGAGTATGTAATTTCTGAGTGAACTAATTAAATTATCCTTAATAAAGAATTTGGAAGGATGGTGAAAAAACGTGACGTTTAGCTACGATGAAGAAGAAGTGGTTGTTGTGTAAGGCCCTTAAAAACGGCACGCGTTTTACTCGTCTCAATTAACAAAATAGCTAAAACCG